CAACTTAGGAATCTAAGATCTAGAGTATTGTAGGCTGTTTTGTTTTGTTTTTGGTGTCAGTCTTAGGGCTTGAACTCAGGGCCGGGGCACTGTCCCTGAGCTTCTTTTGCTGAAGGCTAGGGCTGTGCCACTTGAGCCACAGCTCCATTTCTGGCTTCTTTAGTAGTTTATTGGAGATAAGATTCTCCAGACTTCTCTGCTCAGGCTGTCTTTGAACTGTTAACATCTGATCTCAACTTCCTGAGTAGCTAGGATTATAGGCATGAGCCATCAGCTCCTGACCAGAGGATTGTGGTTTGAAGCCAGCCTGGGCAGAAAAACCTATGAGACCTTGTCACAAAAATCTAAACAAAACAAAATCCCAAACCACCAGGCACTCAGGGAGGAAAGTCTGTAAGACTTACCTCCAATTACCTATCAAAAAGCCAGAAGTAGAGCTGTGGCACAAGTGGTAGAACACTAGCCTTGAGCAAAAAAGCTCAGGGAGAGTGCCCAAGCCCTGAGTTCAAGCCTCAGGACCAGCAACTCCCCACCCTAACCCCCCACCAAAAAGGGGAAAATAGCAAAAAGTAGGGCTGGGGGCATAGCTCAGTTGGTAGAGCCGAGCAAACAAGCCAGGTGAATATGAAGCCCTGAATTTAAGCACCAGTACCACCAAAGGGGGAAAAATTGACATTCCAGATTGATAAGAAAGAATATACTTTTCAGTACATGGTCTTGATATAATAGCTTGCCAACTAGAAAAAAATATTTGGAAAACATCATTCACAAAAAAGTAAGTTGTAGCTTAGCATTGGTAGCTCACATCTATAATCCTAGTTACTCAGAAGGTTGAGATCTGAGGATTAGAGTTCAAAGCCAGCCCAGGCAGAAAAATCTGTGAGACTCTTATCTCCAATAACCCCCTAAAAAAGAAAAAAACAAAAAACCTGGTAGTAGAGCTGTGATTTAAAATGGTAGAGTGCTACCATACAGCAAAATAGCTCAAAGATAGCACCAAGTCCCTGAGTTCAAGCCCAAGGAGTGGCAAAAAAAAAGTTTTAGCTACATAAAAAAAGAAAAAGTAGGGCTGGGAAGTTGGCTCAGTGGTAGAGCGCTTGCCTTGCATGCCTGAGGCCCTGGGTTTGATTCCTCAGCCCCACATAAGCAAAAAGGAAAAACCAGAAGTGGCGCTGTGGCTCAAGTGGTAGAGTGCTAGCCTTGAGCTGAAGAGCTAAGGGACAGCGCCCAGGCCCAGAGTTCAGGCCCCACGACCAGGCCAAAAAAAAAAAGAAAAAGTACTTGAGAGAAACATTTGTTACTTTGGAGAAGGACTATTAAACATGACATAAAAGCCATAAAATAAGAGGTTAACATTTTTGACAATTTATTTTATTCTTGGGATTAAATTCAGGGCATTGTGCTTGTTCAGCTGGCACTCTACCACTTGAGCCACACCTCTATTCCTGCTTTTTCCTGGTTGTTTTAGAACTTATATAGTCTTTCAGACTTTCATTCCTGGGCCTACTAGAGACCGAGATTCTCCAAATCTCAGACTCCTGAGTAGCTAGAATGACAGGTGTGAGCTACCAGAACCCAGATCAGATATAAATTTTATGTGCCTGTCAGTTCGGGGTCTTGAACTCAGAGCCTTGAGTACGAGCTTGACTCTTTCATTTGTACTGCTTGAACCGTGTCTCTAATTCTGGCATTTTATTGGCGATATGAGTCTTGAAGATTTTTCTACCAAGGCTGGCTGAACCAGGATCCTTAGACTTCAGCTTCCTGAGTAACTAGGATTATAGGCATGAGCCAGTAAATATGAAGAAGAAATAGGGAGGTAAAAGAAAGTTCTTTCCTGATTATAAAATTACTGTAAAAATATTCAAGAAGCCAATAAAACATTGAGATTACATGATTACATCACACTTGTGACCCCAGCACTTGTGAGACAGACGCAGGAGGATCTTGGGTTTGAAGCTAGCTTGGACGTCATAGTGAGTTCCAGGCCAAGCCACTCCATGGTGAAACCCTGTCTCCAAATAAACAACAAACAAAATGTCTGAGGGTGGTAAATATAAGACAATAGCCCAAATCTTTTTTGTGCTTCTTCATACTAGCACATATCAGCCGGAAGTGAAAGTGAGGGAATGTGTTCCATTCATAAAAGCAATTAAATCCATAAAATACTTGGGAATTATAATAAAAGGGCAATTTACACAACCTAGCTGAAAAGACAGAAAAACTATAAAATCTTACTGAGGAACATAAAAATACCTGAACAGGCAATAACCACATTTTTTCCTAAAAAATAAGCGTGCCGGGCGCTGGTGGCTCACGCCTGTAATCCTAACTATTCAGGAGGCTGAGATCTGAGGATCGCAGTTCAAAGCCAGCCCGGGCAGGAGAGACCGTGAGACTCCTATCTCCAATAAACCACCAGAAAACCGGAAGTGGCGCTGTAGCTCAAGTGGTAGAGCGCTTGCCTTGAGCTGAAGAGCTGAGGGACAGCGCCCACGCCCAGAGTTCAAGCCCCACGACCGACAAAAATAAAAAATAAAAATAAATAAATAAAATAAGCGTGTAAATGTAATGCGGTTTCAGCTGTATATCCTAGTAATTGGTGTGTGTGGGGGGTATATATGTATGTGTTTGTGTATATGCATATTTGTACTTGGGGCTTGAACTCAGGGCCTGAGAGCTCTCCCTTAGCTTTTTCACTCAAGGCTCACATTCTACAACTTGAGCCACACCTCCACTTCCAATAGTTGTTTGTTTTCAGTTCTGGGCAATAGAACCCAGAGCCTAATTGAGCATCCCTCTAGCGCTTTTGTCTGTGCGCACACGCACACCAGTACTGGGGTTTGAACTCGCACACCAGTACTGGGGTTTGAACTCCGACTCATGTTCTGGCTTAGCTTTTTCACTTAAGGCTAGTTCTCTACCCCTTCTACCAGCTTTTTGCTGGGCAGTTGGAGGTAAGAATCAACAGGCTTTTCTACCCAGACTGGCTTCAAACCAGGATTCTCAGATATCAGAGTAGCTAGGATTAGGGGTGTGAGCCAGCTAGCTGTATTTTGCTTTTGAGATAAGGTCATACTCACTTTGTCTAGGGCCAATCTCAAATTTAAAGTTAAAATCTTCTGCCTCTACTTCCTAAATAGCTGGGATTATAGGTATGTAGCACTGTGCCTAGTGTTTGAATAGAGTTTTTTTTTGGGAAAAGGAGATTCTGGGTTGGGCATAGGACTGATAAAACTTTTTTAAGGGGAGAGGTGCTGCTGGATCTCAAACATTGGGTATACTAGGACAGTGCTGTATCTTAAGCTAGACCCCCAGAAATAAGTCAGATAACACAAAAATGCTTAGGAATAGTGAAGAAAGTTTTGAAGAAGACTGATGAGGAATTCTTGCCTTATTAGAGTTAAAGCATGCTGTAAAGTAACATAGGAACATAGGTATAAGAGTAGAATAATAGCTTCAGGAACTAGTTATAGACCTCTGAAAACAGTCATTTGGATATGACAAAAGTAGATGCCAGGCACTGGTGGCTCATGCCTGTAATCTTAGCTACTTAGGAAGATGAGATCTGAGGATTGAGGTTCAAATTTAGTCTGGGAAGAAAAATCTATGAGATCCTTATCTCTTATCTTAACTTGTGAATAAAGTTGGAAGTAGATAAATGGCTCAAGTTGGAGAGCTCTAGCCTTCAAGTTTCAGTACCAGTATTTATTTATTTTAATCTTAATGGAGCTTGAACTCTGGGCCTGGGGGGCTGTCCTCAAGCTCAAGGCTAGCTCTACCACTTGAACCACAGTGCCACTTCCGGTTTTCCGGCCTTTCCTGCCTGGGCTGGCTTTGAACTGAGATCCTCCTGTCTCAGCCTCCTGAGTAGCTAGGATTACAGGTGTGAGCCACCACGCCCAGCTTGGTATATTTTTTTTTAAGGAGGTTATGTTTCAAGTAAGAACAAGATATGTATTAGTAATTGATATTGACACAAATATTCTTAATCTCTTAGACTGACAGTGGAGGCCAGACATTAAAAATATGGAGGAGAAATGGCACCAGTGGCTCACGCTGTGATCCTAGTTACTCAGGAGGCTGAGATCTGAGGCTCATGGTTCAAAGCCAGCCCAGGCAGAAAAGCCCATGAAACTCTTTTGTTTTATTTTGGGTCCGGTTGTGGGCCTGAACTCTTGAGCCTGGGCGCTGCCCCTCAGCTCTTCAGCTCAAGGCTAGCGCTCTACCACTTGAGCCACAGCACCACTTCTGGCTTTTTTTTTTGCTTATGGGTGCTGAGGAATCAAACCCAGGGCCTCAAGCATGCAAGGCAAGCACTTTACCATTGAGCCACCTTCCCAGCCCACCATGAAACTCTTACCTCCAATAAACAACCAGAAAACCAGAAGTGGTGCTGTAGCTCAAGTGGTAGAGTGCTAGCCTTGAGCTGATGAGCTGAGGGACAATGCTCAGGCCTAGAGTTCAAGCCCCGAGACTGATCAAAAAAAAAAAGTATGGAGGAGAGTCTGGGTGTCTGGCTCACACCTGTAAACTTAGTTACTCAGGAGGCTGAATCTAGGAAGTGGCGCTGTTGCTCAAGTGGTACAGCACTAGCCTTGAGCTGAAGAGCTGAGGGACAGTGCCCAGGCCTAGAGTTCAAGCCCCACGACTGACAAAAAAAAAAAAAAATCAAGAGGCTGAATCTGGGGATCATGGTTCAAAGCCAGCCCGGGCAAGAAAAGTCTGTGAGGCTCTTATCTCTAATTAACCACCAGAAAACCAGAAGTGGTGCTGTGGCTTAAGTGGTAGAGTGCTCACCTGACCTGAAGAGCTCAGGGACAGCGCACAGGCCCAGAGTTCAAGCCCCACAGTGTGCATGACACGGGCACACATGCACGTGCGCGCACACACACACACACATACACACACACTATGGAGGAAAGGACAGGAAGAGTCCCTTGAATGGTTAGGGGCACACTATGGTGGCTTGATCCTTATTCCATCATATCTCTGCACAGGTGTTGCCATGATGACAGTGGCGGAGGATAGCAAGGTGCAGGTGGTGGTGCGGGTGCGGCCCTCCACCCCTCGGGAGCTCGAGAGTCAGCGGCGTCCTGTGATTCAGGTGGTAGATGAGCGGGTACTGGTATTTGACCCTGAGGAGCCTGATGGAGGATTTCCTGGTCTGAAATTGGGTGGCCCCCATGATGGTGGTCCCCCTAGAAAGAAGGGCAAAGACCTGACATTTGTCTTCGACCGAGTCTTTGGTGAGATGGCTACCCAACAAGACGTGTTCCAACATACCACCCACAGCATCCTGGATAGCTTCCTTCAGGGCTACAACTGCTCAGGTGAGAACTTGAGCCCTGCTTGATAGAAGCTTTGCCTCTGATTCCCAAGAAAAGAATTTCACATTCTTATTTAGATCATGCCTGTAACTCGGGGCCTGGGTGGGCACTCTTCCTTAGCTTTTTCCATTCAGAGCTGATGCTTTTGCAGTCAGGCATCGGTGGCTCACTCCTGTAATCCTAGCTACTGAAGAGGCTGAGATCTGAGAATCACAGTTCAAAACCAGCCTGTACAGGAAAGGCTGTGAGACTCAGATCTCCAGTTCACCAGAAAACTGGAAGTGGCACTGTGGCTCAAGTGGTAGAACACTTGCCTTGAGCTGAAGAGCTCAGGACAGACAGCGTGCAGGGCCAGAGTTCAAGCCCCATGACCGACAAAAAAAAGAGTCTCACAGACTTCTCTGTCTGGGTTGGCTTTGAACCACATTTCTCAGATCTCAGCAACTGGTGCCTGGATTATTTTTATGTTTATTGTCAGTACTGGGGTTTACACTCTACCACTTGAGCTCCTCCCCCACCCCAACTTATGTGTCTTCTAACACATTAGCCTCTCCCTCGCCACTGAGCTGGGGGCACTCTATGGAGGCCCCCATTTATTCTCTCTACCATGTGAGGCACTCACCGGGCCTTAACATATGGGAGCTAATCAGATACAATCTTGAGCTCTTGATGCTTAAAGTCTAAAGGGGGGAGAAGGCATAGATCAGAAAAACATCCCACAAACATGTGCTTATAAACCCAGGCTAGTGATGCAAAATAAAGCACTGTGGGCCTGAAGAAGGAAGGGATGGTCTCCATCCACAATAGAGAGCCCTCTGACTGGGAGTCTGCAGGTTTGTGGGAATTTAAGACAGACTCATGGAGAATCAAAGGCTAAGCATAAGAGTGACGGGAACGGTGTATGTGAATGGCAAAGGAAAGGGACTTAAGGTAGGCGGGACTGGGCCCAGTAGAATGTGTTGGGAGCAGCTCTAGGAAGGTAACTCTGGCTCTGCTGCCACTTCCTCTTCATTCTGTGCCCTGTAGTGTTTGCCTATGGAGCCACCGGGGCTGGGAAAACACACACCATGCTGGGAAAGGAGGGGGATCCTGGCATCATGTACTTGACCACCATGGAACTGTACAGGCGTCTTGAAGCCCTCAAAGAGGAGAAGCGATTCGAGGTGCTCATCAGCTACCTGGAGGTAGGCCTGTTCTCTCTCCAGCCTGTGTCATCCCTCATTCTCATAGTCATATAAAGAGAAGACGGAGTGGTAGAAAGTAGATAATGGGCCCAGGTGAGCCAGCGGGACATAGATACTGCACAGTGAGAAACTGCATGAGGGGAAAACCTGCTCTTGGCATCCCGCATGGTCCTGAAGTGTGTCACTTATGGCAGCTGCCTCAGATATGCACCAATCTCATCTTTCCCTCTCCAGCAACTTCCTTTCTTCAACCTCTGGACACTCAGTTGCCTCCCCTAGGGAAGGATGTTCTCCCTCAGACCACTTCTTGCCATTTCTCCTCAGGTGTACAATGAGCAGATCCGTGACCTCCTGGAGCCCAAGGGATCCCTTGCCATCCGTGAGGACCCTGACAAAGGCGTAGTGGTGCAAGGACTTTCTTTCCACCAGGTAGATGCCAGATGGGGCTCAGATGGCTACCAGCCACCCTGGCTGCTTCTCTGGGGTCTTCTCACAAAGCCATTTGGGATGCCCTGAATACTGCAGTGGTGGTATGGTGGCATTAATGAGGCGTGGGAGGGTACTGACAACTAGCCTTTCCTGCCAGGCACAAAGCACTGGTAGAGACCACAGCCCCTTTCCTGGGTGTCTCCTCTCTAGCCAGCCTCAGCTGAGCAGCTGTTGGAGATGCTGACCAGGGGCAATCGCAGCCGTACACAGCACCCTACTGATGCCAATGCTACATCCTCCCGCTCCCATGCCATCTTCCAGGTGAGCAGAGTCATAGGCTGAGCCTACAGCTGGGACTCATGATAGACCCAACTCCCCTAACCCCTGCCCTCTGCCCTCAGATCTTCGTGAAACAGCAGGACCGGGTACCAGGCCTGACTCAAGCCCTTAAGATGGCTAAGATGAGCCTGATCGACTTGGCTGGCTCAGAGCGGGCATCCACCACCCATGCCACGGGGCAGCGACTACGGGAAGGTGCCAATATCAACCGCTCTCTGCTGGCTCTCATCAATGTCCTCAATGCCCTGGCTGATGCAAAGGTGAAGCATCACAGGCCTGATGCCACCCCACTCCCCCACAGGACAAGAACTGAGAGCTGAACCCAGTGGTCCCTTCTCCAGCCCTGAGCCAAAAAGCTATGCCAGGCTCTACCCAATTCAATCTAGCCCAGCTGTCTTTCCCCTCACCCACTGGTTTAATTTCCAGGGCCGAAAGTCTCATGTGCCCTACCGGGACAGCAAACTGACCCGCCTGCTCAAAGACTCCATCGGGGGCAACTGCCACACAGTAATGATTGCTGCCATCAGCCCCTCCAGCCTGACTTATGAGGACACTTACAACACCCTCAAATATGCTGACCGGGCCAAGGAGATCAGACTTTCGGTATGTATCAACTAGGGATAGCCTGTGTGTATGGGTATCAGGGAGCACTCAGCCTGGGAACAGATAGGAGAGGGCCCCGATTGCTTCCTCAGATTCCCTAACCAACACCCCCATGCAGGAAAAGGAAGTTCCCTGGGCTCTTATCTTCTGGGAGAGTCTTCATAATAAGAGCAGCTTTGTCCCCATCCTCAGAAAGACTCCAGCTAGACAAAGGCAGAGAATGCAGACTGTTTTAGTCAGTAGCACCATATATTCCAGTAAAATGATGTAATCATCCATATACATTAACCCAGACAAAAGCAGGTGTGCTCTGGTTTCTGCCACATCTGCTGGGCTTCGCCTCCTTGCTTCTCAGGGAGCCCTGGCTTGCCTGTTGGTCAGCACATCTCTGTGAGACAGTCAGGATTCAGGGCCACAGCCAATCCTCGACCCCTTGCTGCGATCCCTCCCCTTCCCTAGTTCTTTTCCCCACTTGTGAGAATGAGTCATGGCAATGTGAGCAAGACTTCCTGCACAATGCCTAGGCATGGAAGGTGGCTGGTTAAAAACTGCTTTGAATGAACAAACAAATCTCTTCCCTGTGGTCCCCCTCTCAGCTGAAGAGCAACGTGATCAGCTTGGACTGTCATATTAGCCAGTATGCCACCATCTGCCAGCAGCTCCAGGCTGAGGTGAGGAGCCCAGCAGGGGAGATGGTCCAGGGTAGGGAGTGAAAGCCAGGAGCTTGGGGGTGCAGCAGGGCTCTGTGCCCACCCCCAGCCTCCTGTGCTTACCTGGGGCTCTGAGGACTGAGCTGCTGCTGTTCCAGGTGGCTGCCCTGAGGAAGAAGCTCCAGGTGTATGAGGCAAACGCTCAGGCCACACAGCAGGACCTCTCACAGTCCCACAAATTGAGCCCGCCACAACGGTCAGTTCTGATGTCATCTACCACTCCTTCTCTAATTCATAGAGGACTAGGACTCCTTGTCTGTATTCTAATACCTTGGATTAGGGGTGGTTTCTACCAAAATGAGCAATTAATTGAGTGCTGTTAAGAATGTCCTGTGTCAGATGGGGAAGTGACGTCTCAACTATAAAAAAGCAAAAGGCAAGCCAGGCACTGCTTGTTCATGCCTATAATCCTATCTACTCAGGAAGCTGAGCTCTGGGGATCACAGTTCAAACCCAGGCTCCCCCCCCAAAAAAAAAATCTGAGAGTCTATCTCCAATAAACCTGCAAAAGAAAAAAAGCTAGACTGGAGGCAGGGCTCAGGTGGTAGAGTAGTTGAGCTACAAAGCTGAACAAGAGCTGGACTGGGAATGTGGTTTAGTGGTAGAGTGCTAGCCTTGAGAAAAAGAAGCTCAGGGACAATGTCCAGACCCTGAGTTCAAGCTCCAGGATACAAGATCCTGAGTTCAAGCCCTAGTACTGACAGAAAGAGAGAAAGAGGCAACTGGTTTTGGGGTTCTGCTGCCCATTATCATAAGTGGCCTTTACTTTCTCTTTGTTAATTAACCTTACCTTGTTATTGAGAGATAGAGAAGAAAGAAGCAGAAGGTTTAGAAGTTGGATGTGTCATTGGGTTTGTGTGTGTGTGTGTGTGTACGTGCGTGTGTGTGTGTGTGTACGTGCGTGTGTGTGTGTACGTGTGTGTGTGTGTGTACGTGCGTGTGTGTGTGTGTGTACGTGCGTGTGTGTGTGTGTGTGTGTGTATCTCCTCTCCACACACACACACACACACATACTGGGACTTGAACTCAAGGCCTTGAGCTTAGCTATGCCCCAGCCCTTTTTGTTTTAGTTTTTTGATAGGGTCTCACATTTTTGCTAGGGCTGGCCTTGGACCAACCTACTTTTGCTGCCTAAGTAAGTGGGATTCTAGGTGTGCTTACTATATCCAGCTTGTTTGTAAAACTGGGTCTCCTGACTTTTTGTTCTTGATGGCTTTAAACAATGATCCTCCCTCCTGTCTCTGCTTCCAGAGTAGCTGGGATTACAGGAAGAAGCCACTATACCAGGTTCTGGAGTTCATTGTTTTTTGTTTTTTGTGGGGTTTTTTTGGTCGGCCTTGGGGCTTGAATTCTGGGCCTGGGTGCTGTCCCTCAGCTCTCAGAGCTCAAGGGGAGCATTCTACTCCTTGAGCCACAGCGCCACTTCCGGTTTTCTAGTGGTTTATTGGAGATAAGAGTCTCACAATCCTTCCTGATCCTCAGATCTCAGCCTTCTGAGTAGCTAGGATTACAGGTGTGAGCCATCAGCACCTGGCAAAGATGGTTTTATGGGTTTTTTGTTTGTTTGTTTTGTCGTGGGAGTTCAACTCCAGCCTGGACGCTAACCCTGAGCTCTTCAGCTCAAAGCACCATTTCTGCTTTGTTCTGCTTATGTGGTGCTAAGGAATCGAACCCAGTGCCTCATGCATGCAAGGCAAGCTCTCTACCACTGAGCCAACCTCCTAGCCCCTTTTTTTTTTGTTTTTAAACCAGAAAGTCCCTCACACCTTCATACCTCCCTTCTTCCTAAATAGGCTGCTACTTGTTATCTAAACATTTCATGTGGGCTCTACAACTAGGTATTAGAGATCCTGCCTCACTTGCTCATCGCACCTTCCCCTGCCCCACATCATGCCTCTCAAACTCTCATTTTCTCCTTGCCTTCCTAGCTCCTCCTTACTGCCCCAGCCTCCTAACCAGCCCTGCACCTCAGAACTCCACACCGAGTCTGGAGCCTTTCAAGAGGGGAGCCTTGGGACACAGGGCCAGGAACAGAGGAATGTGGAAGGAAACTCCCCAGAGCAGCAACAGCTCCTACAGAACAAGGACAAAAACCCCAGTGAGAAAGTATGTCTTGAGGACGTGAGGCCTGGGCCCCAGGTGGGATATTAGAAGAAATAGCTATTCTCATTCTCTATCTGGATGTCTTACATCTGTCCTGTGCTTGTGACTGGGACCAAACAAGCCTTTCTGAAGTCCTGGTCATTCTAAAGCTGTTATTTTCCATTCCTGGGGGAAGGAAGGGTTTTAAGAGGTTATCTGCCCCCTCTACCTGTGCCTCCTCTAGGTTCCAACCCAGATGCCAGAGCTAAACCTCATGCATCCACTACCAGAGTCCCCTGGTCTGATCGTGCATCCGGAGCCAGTTGCAAACCACCTTTCACCACAGAAATTGGACATGGATCAATCTAAGCAGTAGGTGTCTCCTTGCCTCTACTCTGGAGTTCAAAGTGGGATGTGATGGACCAGCCTCCTGGTATAGGAACATGCATCACAAAAATTTCTGATTCTTGTTCACAGTCAAGTCCCTTTTTATTAGCATTATCTCATTTATTTATTTCTTTACTTGTTTGTGCTAGTAATGGGGCTTGAACTCAGAGCCTGAGCAGTGTCTCTTAGTTTTTTTGCTCAAGGCTGTCACTCTATCATTTGAACCACAGCTCCACTTCTAGTATATATGTGTGCGTGTGTGTGTGCATGTGTGTGTGTGTGTACTTTTTTAAATTGCTATTATAAAGGTGATATTCAGAGGAGTTACAGTTACATAAGTCAGATACTTCTAGCTTTTTTTGCTGGCTAATTGGAGATAAGAATGTCACATCTCACAAGCTTTCTTGCCCTTGATGGGTTTGAACCTCCATCCTCAGATCTCACCCTCCTGAGTAGCTAGGACTACAGGCATAATCTTAAGTGCTTTCAACTCCTTGTTATTATTACCTACTCTTATTTCCTGGGCATCATCTTTAATCCTTCCACAAAGTTGGCAGCCCAACAGGCAAGGGAAACTAAACACTAAATTCCATCCCAACAGCCAGCAGAAACACCAAGTTAGGACAGGCCATTGGGGCTAGCTAGCACTTGGCTTTCTTGTGTAGGGAGAACACAATGCGCAGCCAGGGGAAGCTGGACGACAGTCAGAGGAAGGGACAGGACAGCCTTCCTGAACAAGTATTTCTCTTGTGTTCTCACCAACAGCTTGTGGCTTATCTCCCCCACCCCACCCCACCCCCCAGAAGTAAACACAAATCTCCCATCACTTTTCAGCTTTCCAGCTAAAATAAAGCAGAGTAAACACAAACCTCCATCTTGAACCAAAGAGGAAAGGATATGGACCCATTCCTTGGGTCTCCTAGAGGATGCTGCTGTATATTTTTTTTTCCCTTGATCTCTAATACATAAATCCCCCACCACTTAGCTTTGCTATTGCCAGTCCTACTCTCCCCTTCCCAGCACGCTTCACACCAGGCAGTGTATTTAAAGCTTCTGGACAGAAGGGCCTGTTTAATTTTATTTCTTGTTGGGGAGTGTCTGTTCCCGACTCAGCAAAAATGTTGCGGCCTGAATAATCACAGGCTCATTATCGGTCTCTTATTGCTAACTCCCTGAGGCCTAGAGAGATGGGGTACATTGGTGGGGTGCCCCATTAGTCTCCCAGGGAACAACAATGAATTCAAGGTCTCTCTGCTTGGTGTTCCCCCAGTATGAAGAGAAAGGATAAGAGGATATTATGATTCTCATTTCTACCTGGGTTTTTTTTAGGGGGGAGATGAGCAGCTTCCAACAAGTTGCTTCAAAACCCCTGGTTGTGACTTAGATCTCCCTACTACTTGGTGAGGAAGTCCTAATAAAATACAGCAGAAGGCTTCAAATATTAAGGTTTATAGAACATCTTAGATCATCTCAATATTGGAAAAACCCCTGACAACTGCATAATCGAAAGTCATTTCTTTTGACTTTAGAGTTTTGAATCTTGGACCACTAGGGCACTGAACAAATCTGAGATTTTCCAGTTCAGTGGGTTTTCAAGTGTTTTTTTTTTTTTTTTTTCCCCAGCTGCAGAGTCATCTCTTTACATGGAATCTCATGCTGAGGTCTAATATGTAGGACTGACAAGATAGAGTTACTCTGATTGGTGATGTTTGAAACCTAATTTTAAAATGCTGGTATAAACCAACTCCCCATTTGTGAACGAGAAGATGAGGTCTTTGCCCAGGGTCAAGAGGGACAGGGCCAGTGTGACTCTCATGGTAGCCAGGTCCAGGCCTTTTTCCCCCAAATATTTTGCTCAGTGGTCCAGTCTTCCTTATAATGTGTTGCTTGAGAAGATGCTGAATGAGTTTCTGCTGTGTCTTTTTTAATTTATGTCCTGCCCTCTTTCACAGAGGGCTGGAGGCTACTTTACTAAATGAGCTTGGTTCCCTGAGCAAACACTGACAGGGCAGTGAGGTGGGTTCATCCAAGTCCAGACAGGTAGTTACCTGAGGATAAATCATTTGCCATAAATAATCCCCACTGAGGTAATTGTGTTTATTCTTTTATCATAGAAAGAAAATTGGCTTTATGAGAATCCAAATTTACAGCATCAATAATCGCATTACCCTCAAAATTTCCTTTAAATAGTCCCTTAGTGCATGTGAAATACACGTTGATTCACATGTACTTTTTCAAGGATCCTAACTATTAAACAGAAAGCACAGACTGAATGCATTTTGAAGGGCTTTCTCAGAGCCCAGGTCAACAGAGCCTATTTTATTATATAATCTCCTCTTGTCCTAACGAGGTAGATGGTATGACCACCACCTTACAGAAAATAACTTAGTGTTTACTGTATGCCAGCTATTCCTTTAAATATTCTGCATATAAAAACAACAGTCAGCTGGACACTGGTGGCTCATGCCTGTAATCCTAGCTACTCAGGAGGCTGAGATTGAGGATCGAGGTTCATAGCCAGCCCAGGCAGGAATGTTCATCAGACTCTTATCTCCAATTAACCGCCAGAAAACCAGAAGTGGTGCTATGGCTCAAGTGGTAGAGCACTAGCCTTGAGTCAAAGAGCTGAGGGACAGCGCCCAGGTCCAGAGTTCAAGCCCCATGACTGACAAAAAAAAAAAACAACCCTCAGCCAGGCACCAGTGGCTTGCAACTGTAATCCTAGCTACTCAAGAGCTGAGATCTGAGGACCTTGGTTTAAAGCCAGCCCTGGCAAAAAAGTCCTTGAGATTCTTATCTCCAGTTAACCTCAAAAAAGCCAGAAGTAGAGCTGAGGCTCAAGTGCTAGAGTACCAGCCTTGAGGGGAAAAAGCTAAGGGACAGTGCCCAGGTCCTGAGTTCAAGCTTCAGCAGCAACACACACACACACACACACACACACACACACAAATAATATCTTTTCAGTAGCTCTATAAAGTAGGTGTACTTGTTATTCTCATTTTAAGGTTCTAGAGATTGAGGCTAATCAATTTATTGACAATCACATAGCTGAGAAATGTTGAGCTGGGATTTGAACAGTGCCAGTTTGATTTGAGATGGATCTCAACTACTGTGGGGGTTTTTTTGGTGTAAATGTGTGCCAGCACTGGGGCTTAAACTTAGAGCATTTAGCTCTCATTTTTTTCCACTCAAAACTGTCACTGTACCACTTGAGCAACACCTTCATTTCTGGCTCCATGGTTAATCGGAGATAAGAATCTCTTGGATTTGTCTGCTTTGACTGGCTTTGAACTGCAGTCCTCAGACCTTAAGCCTCCTGAGTAGCTAGGATTATAGGAGAGAGCCACCCCAGCTTCAACTACTATCTTACATTGTCCTGAGGGCACATTAATTTAGGATTCCAGTACTAATGTAAATGGCTGAGCTAGGGGGAAATTCAGACCTCCCAAGTCCAAGGTCACTTGAAACCCTTTCCCTACTTCCTGGGCCCCCATCTTTGTCCTGGAGCAGGAATAATGGGTAATACCTACCACCCTTGCCTGGAACCTGTCTGCCTTCAGTGAGGGTGTCACAGAGCTGGAGCTGGATTGGGAGGTGCATCAGTTAGTCTGGTACAAGGCAGGAGGAAGGGAGGGAGGGGACCATCCAGATTTGCTTTCCACCATACTTGCAGTGATGAGGTCAGTGCATAGACTAGAGAGCCCTAGCCAGGCTGGATATAAGTAGCACAGGGATCTCGTTCCCTCTATTCCAGGTTGACCTTACGAGTACTGTGCTTGGCCCATCGTCAATACTCCCTGCTCCAGGCAGCCAATCTCCTGACCCCAGACATGATTACAGAGTTTGAGACCCTGCAGCAGCTGGTGCAGGAGGAGAAAACTGAGCCTGGAACTGAGGCCTCCAGCAATACTGCTTGCCTACCCAGAGAGGCCCCTCTGGCTCAGGAGCGGTGTTTAGAGTCAAGTGAGTGTCACCTCTACACTGTCCTATCAGTGTCACCTTCGAGGCCCAGCTAGGGCTGAGGCATTGCCAAGCACTTTATGTGCTATGGTGGGAGGATGGACCCCTGCAATTATGGGCTTCTAAGAGAGACCCAGAAGACCTAAAGAAGGGGACCTCTTTGGATCTCTAGTGCCTGCTCCTTCCTTCTAGCCAGTCCCTGATCTCACTTAGTACCCTCCTTTTCTCTGCCCAGAGTCTCCAGAGTACTGTGGCCCTGTGACCCGGACCATGGCAAAGCAACTGCACACTATGGGGATCCCCTCTGGGCCTGACTGCAGCCCAGCCAAGGAAGCCCGACAGCCCGCAGAGAAGAAGAGGAGGAGGAGACTGAGTCCCACAGAGCCAGACTGTCCTCTGGTCCCAAAGCAGACCAAACGCCAGCACCAGTCCTTTCTCCCCTGCCTGAGGAGGGGGTCTCTGCCTAAGGCTCAGCCTTCATTTGAGCCCAGCACCCCAAAAGGGAAAAGACCCTTTTCTCCCTGCCATTCCCCTCGCTTCTGCCCAGCTACAGTCATCAAAAGCAGGGTTCCCCTGGGCCCTTCTGCTATGCAGAACTGCTCCACCCCTCTGGCCCTACCTGCTCGTGACCTTAACACCACCTTTGATCTCTCAGAGGAGCCCCTCTCAGCCCTCAGTTGTCATGAATTTGGCTGGGAGAAAGTCCCCCAGGAGTTGAACAGGCCGGACCAGCCCTTCATCCCCAGGTAGGTCTCTCAGCCTCCCTCTCAGTCCTTCCAGCTGGCGGTCAGAGGTCAACAAGAGACAAGGGTACATCCAAGAAAAGGAAATCAGCCTGACTTTTAGAGTTGAGACCTGTTTCCCTTTGGTCATTCTTGAGGCCCAGAATGGAGTGTGCAGTTACTATGGAGACATGGCTTCACTCGATGCCCCTCCCCTTCTATTCATGCCTCAGGTTCACTGGCTGTGTGCTGGTTCAGTGTGTCCTCAGCTCATGGGACCTCAACTTGGGAAGAGTCACAGGGAATCTGGAATTAATGAGCCCAGCCCTGTCTGTTCCTCTGCTTTGCTTAGGCTCTGTGACCTGGTATGAGTTCTGTAAATACCTGCAAATACCTATGGTTGCCCTTTGTCTCCTAGGTTTCTCTAGTTCAGCATATGGAATGCAGGATATGGTCCTCAGAAAACTTTATTCAGTATTTTCTAGGGAGGAGGTAAAGTGTTAGGTTTGCCCTCTGTCCACATGGCAGGCAAGGGGTACAGCAACCCGACAGGACAGTGGCAGAAGCTAAGGACAAATGGCAGACTGACCTGGACTTGTGAGGCAGAGGCCAGCAGGCTGCCCGCCTGCAGCCCCCCCACCTTTCATGGCCCCTGAACCAGCTCTTAGTAAAGCTCAGAGCTGGGCAGGTGGAAGGGTGAAATTGCTTGAACTCCAGTTCCCTGGACGCTCCAGAAAACTGACATCTGGATGTTCTCCCAGAACAGAGCTGTCACTCAGCTGTCAGCCCAGGCAGGGAAGGCAGAGAGAACAGTCCACCTCTGAGCAGAAAGAAGCCTCAGGTCATCTTGTCCAACCTCCCTCCCCACAAGCTGGGGCCTGGAGGGAGGAAGAGTGGCCAGTGCCATTTCTGGTTCCCATCTCATCTGCCTTTCTCCTTTTCTTTTCCCCTTGCCCAGCGCACCTGTGCTGTTCACCAGGAAGGCCTCCAAGCTGCCATCTTCCTTCCCTGGCACCACCTCCTGCAAGAAGAAGCGCACCATGAGGTAAGGTCTGGGTGATGTGAAGGTGGGGAAGAAATTTCTCACTCAAACAGTGTGTGCCCTGACTGGGCACAGGCCCCTGCTGGTGTCTCTGGACCCCTCACAGCCCAGGTCTTGTGAGCAGGCCAGCATCTGGTTCTTTGACTGGAGTTTCTTTGACCCTTGTTGCTATTCCAGGATCATCCCAGAAGTGAAGTGGGGAGGGTATGCACAGCTCACCCCCCCCTCCTCACACACCTCTCCTACCCTCCCATATGGCCTTGGAAACTCCTGTCGGTGCTTGGCCTTTCCTGCTTTCAAAGAATAAGGCAGCTCAGCTACCTTCGTACTCCTTGCACACCCCAGAGCCCCATCTGTCTTCCCTTCCTCCCTTAGTTCCTCAGTCTCCCGGGGCCGAAGTCGCATTGCTCGCCTCCCCTGTAGCACCTTGAAGACATCAGCTGGGCCTCTTAAAATCCCAGGTGACTAGCACTGGGGACAGAGGTGGCGTACCACAAGGTCAAATGAAGCTGGAGGTAAGAGGGAGGGAACAGGGTGGGCCAAGGCCCCCTGGGAGAGAAGTACTTCCAAGTATCTCAGGGACCCTGAGTGGTGAGGTAGAGGAGGAGGTGGGTGGCTGGGGAAGCTGTGGCATAGAACCTCACTTTGTTCTTCCCATGTCCCACCCCTTCCAACTGGCCTGCAGAACCACCCTTGAGTCCCCGCTGCCTTGGTGACCAGAGAATACAGGAGGAACTAATCAGGGTCAGGGGAGTGCTATCAACTGGGAGCTGTGTCACCATGGTGTCCTGACTGCCAGAGGTGTCCTGATCTGTCAGCCCATCTAAGCTAGCCACCCCTCCTTGGTCTCTGGAGCCACTGGAGCAATTAATGCCAAGATTCCTTTCCTGTTTTAACACCCCTCCCCAACCATTCATACTCTCTGCCCTCTATTAATCTCAGTTATGCTCAGCTTCTCAGTGTGTACATATTTGTTTTTGAGTGTTAACATACAGCTGTTCTAAAGGATGCTGCCCCAAGGACATAGGGAGCTCTTGACTGTTTTCTATGCCTGATGTCTAACAGTAAACTCTGCCCACTGATGGCCTCTGCCCAGTAGAGGAGGGTTAAGGACAGGAAGGGGGCTCGCTGGGGAGTCCCCACTTGACTCTTCAGGTTCTGAGAGAGGCGTCTTCAGCCCCTTATCCCCAGCCTGAGGTAGGAACTTTACTCTGGCCCCTGCTCTGGTGATGATGTAGCTCCTTTGCAAAGGAAGCCAACATTATTATCTTGAGCCATTGTACACAAGACACTCAAAGTATAAGATGATATAAGAAGAAAGGAAAGTGCAGCCTTAATGCTACCACCTAGGTATAGATGCTAAATACTGGGACTTATACATCCCTCTGATCCTTGATTCCTGAACAAACGGGTATTATAAACACATGTAGATAAGAGGTTTTTTGTTGTTTTTTTTTTTTTAACTATAATGATCAATAAAATAACCTTCTGTATCCTTGGTGTGTTTTTCTCTGTATCCCTACAATAGCAACGTCTTCCCTTTCTCATTTCCTACTTTTTAACATTTTAAAACATTTCTGGAGCTGGGGGTATAGTTTAGTGGTAAAGTAATTGCCAAACATGAGCAAGGCCCTGGGTTCAATCACTAGCACTTCAAAAACTGAGGGAGCAGCCAGCCACTGGTGGCTCATCTTTCCACTTAGAAGGCTAAGATCCAAGGACCGTGATTCAAAGCCATCCCCAGTAGGAATGTCTGAGACTTTTTTTTTAATTGCTTTTATTTTTTTTTCTAAAGGATTTTTTAAAATTGTTATTATACAGATAATGTACAGAGGGTTTACAGTTACATAAGTTAGGTAAAAAATACGTTTCTTGACTGGGAATGTGGCTCAGTGGTAGAGTGCTTGCCTAGCATACACGAAGCTCTGGGTTCAGTTCCTCAGTACCACTTAAGCAGAAAAAGCCAGAAGTGACACTGTGGTTCAAGTGGTAGAATACTAGCCTTGAGCAAAAGCAGCTCAGGGACAGTGCCCAGGCTGAGTTTAAGCCCCAGAACAGGAAAAAGAAAAAAAAAAGTACATTTCTTTTTGGACAATGTCACCCCTTCTCTCTCTTTCTGTCCTATCCTCATGCACAAGTTGTATAGTTGATTTTCAACATAGTATCTAGTGAGTATCACTGCTACATTTGTTCGCCCTTTGTCCTCCATTTCTGTGCCCCTCCCCCAAACAGATAAATGAATAAACAAGACAAGAAGAAAAGAAAAATAACCATAAAGAAACAACCTGTTTGGGGGACAGCCTTTTTGGTTGGTCCCCAGGTCCGGGGCAATGCTCTTTAAGTGAAGGCCCCACAAGATGGAATGTTTATGCAGCCTGCTCCTGCCCCCACCCCTCTACCCGCTCCTTCAGGCCTTTCTCTCCATTCATTGGATTATATGACAGTCCAACACAGTTATCTCTGTTCTCTCCGTGAAGACATGGTTGGCTGAATGAATTAATAGAGTAAACAAAATTACAGGAGTCTGTTTAACTTTAGTCTGTAAACAAACATGTTAAGGGTATTTAGCACATTGTGAGTAGTGTATAAATAGTGCTGCTAAGTTCAAAAGGAGTCTTCCCCTCCCCTCTGCCCAGTGGGCCCCTCCCACCCAGTTTCCATCATTGTTGGAGGAAAAGAGCAAGAGAATGTGCACCCTTTTCCTGTCACTGCCAGGCATCTGAAAGGGATAGATAATGAAAGACAAGCTTCACCCAACTCATTGTGAGGCAGCAAGTGTTCAGGATTCAATCCAGGGTCTTGGGGCTGGGAAGGTGGCTCAGTGGTAGAGCACTTGCCTCGCATGCATGAGGCCCTGGGTTCGATTCCCCAGCACCACATAAGCAAAAAGAAAAAAGCCAGAAGTGGCACTGGGGCTCAAGTGGTAGAGTGCTAGCCTTGAGCTGAATTGCTCAGGGACAGCGCCCAGGCCCAGAGTTCAGGCCCCATGACCAGACCCAAAAAACAATCAATCCAGGGTCTACTGCTTTCCGTGATCCAAGGCTTTTCCCCTTTGGAAGAGAAGAGACAACAAACACTTCCACCACCCCCCATTCCTTTTTTTTCCGCATGCCCAGGGTTCCCGCCTCTCCAATTATCCTTAATGAGCTTGTTCCCCTGTGTGCCATGATTCCCTCCAAAGCTGCCACATCTTCACATCTGTAGCCCCTGGCAGCCTGGCATGGTGCCTTGACCTCAGGAGGCCTTGTTGAGTGTTGGTTGGATTCAAATTGAATAACTTTCCCCATTTCCTGGGGCCCTCTCATATGTGTGTGTGTGTGTGTGTGTGTGTGTTATATACATACACACACACACACACACACTCACCATCACATCTATAGATGCACAGGCACAGAGCAAGGTGGCTGGTAACAAGGGCCAGGAAGGCAACCTCTGCACAATGGGATCCTTGCACCAAGCAGAGTTTGCCCGGGCAGCCAGCACAAGTCAGAAGAGGTTGCTCTTGACAAGGATATTCACAGCCAGCCATTCAGTCAGCAAATATTTGTGGCTCTATGGTGCAAAATGGTGCTCTCGGGTGACCCATTAAATGTACAAAGACAGTGTTGGAGTTAGCACGTGTGGCTTCTGCCCCCAGTCATGGGAGGTTGGGCTGAGAGCTTGCTGTGTGGCGTTCCACCAGCCAGTGGCAGCCTGGCCGGCCCCCACTTTGTGGGAAGCTGATAGGGGCTGAGGGCAGTAGCAAGCTGACAGCCAGCTCCCAGCTGAATTCTGTGGGTGATGAGGCTCTGAGATTGGATCCTTCTTTCACAGAGAGTCATTCACAAGACATGGCAATCAATGCTTCCCCTATCTAGTGTGGGTCCATCCTGGCCTGATGCCCCCTCTCCCTGCCTGGTCCTAACTTCATTCGACTTCCATAAGAAGTCCTTTCCCTTGCCCCTCTCTCTCCCCAAACCCTTGGCACTTCCTTGCTGGCCCCCACAATTCATGCTGGGTTCCACCACGGGGTACCAATTTCTGACCAATTCACAAAATCAGGCTCTGTGCCAAAGAGCTGAACACACAGAGGCGTTTCATTCAAGCAGTAGGGAGGCACCTGTGCCTGTCACCTAAGCATAGGCCACTTCTGTCTGTCAATGTTGGCACCTATCAAGGGGGAGAGATTGGGCTTTCTCTCTGAGCTCTCCCTACACCCAGGCTTTAGCTTGTCTGCCACAGGGCATTTTTACTATACTAGGGAGTCTCATTGGCAGTTACTAACTCAGGAGTCCTGCCCCAAAGCCCTGCTTATCTGTACTTAGGTTTCTCAGCAATAATCCTTTCTTTGGGAAAGAGGTGTTGAGGGAATTCTGGTTTCCAGCTAGAATTTAGATCATGATTATCTTCTCTCCCTGCATGCTTTTGTGAAGAGGGATTCTGAGATGAGGGTTATGGGTTGCAGGGACCAGAGTCATCCCAGGGGCATGGGAACTAAAGGATCCCCTCTTTTTCTTTTTCTTCTTTCCCTTTTACTTTTTTCCCTTTTTCTTATTTCCCTTTTTCTTTTTTCCCTTTTTCTTTTTCTTTTTCTTTTTTCCCTTTTTCTTATTTCCCTTTTTCTTTCTTTCCCTTTTCTTTCTTTCTCTTTCTTCCTTCCTTCCTTCCTTCCTTCCTTTCTTTCTTCCTTCCTTCCTTCCTTTCTTTCTCTTTCTTTTTTCTTTTATTTTATTGTGAACATACTGTACAGAGGGGTTACAATTACATAGGCAAGATAATGAGTATATTTCTTATCAAGCATTCTAGTCTTTTTTTCTTTTTCTTCCTTCTTTTCTTTCTTTTTCTTTCTTTCCTTTCTCTCTTTCTGTTTCTTTTTTCTTTTCCTTCCTTCCTTCCTTCCTTCCTTCCTTCCTTCCTTCCTTCCTTCCTTCCTTCCTTCCTTCCTTTCTCTCTCCCAGTCCTAGAGCTTGAAATCAGGGCCTGGGCACCGTCCCCAAGTTTCTTTTGCTCAAGAAGGCTCCCCTCCAGTGCATTCTTTGACCCATCCTGTCCAATTGGAAGGCTGCTGTGTTGGAACTAGCAAGCCATCCACCAGTTCTGTCCTCCATCCACCAGTTCTGTCCTCCATCCAAGGCCATAGTTCATCTCTACTTCTCCTGGGAGGGACCCAGTCAGGCAAGGAGACAAAGAAGGCCTGTAATCCTAGCTGCTCAGGAGCCTAAGATCGGAGGATCATAGTTCAAAGCCAGCCCTGGCAGCAAAGTCCATGAGACTCTTCTCTCCAATTAACCACCAAAAAGCCAGAAATGGAACTTTGGTTCAAGTGGTAGAGTGCTATCCTTGAGTGAAAAAACTAAGGAACAGTACCCAGGCCTTGAGTTCAAGCATCAGTTCTGGAGCCAAAAAAAGAGAAAAGAAAAAAGTGAACTTAAGAAAACCCATCACAGGGCGGGGAGTATGTCTTAGTGGTAGAGTGCTTGCCTAGCATGCATGAAGCCCTGGGTTCGATTCCTCAGTACCACATAAACAGATATGGAGAAATTGTAAAAATGGCTCTGTGCCTCAAGTAGTAGAGTGCTAGTCTTGAGCAAAAGAAACTCGGGGACAGTGCCCAGACCCTCAGTTCAAGCCCCAGCACTGGCAAAAATAAAGAAAAAAAAAATCCAGCACATGCTAGAAACCTGGTTTTGGCTTTCTCCCTCCAAGCCGTGGTAATGGCCAGGCCTGGGCAGCTGAGCACTGCCATCTAGTGGCCCCGGGACTCAGTTCCCTTCCTCAGGAAGCTCCAAGGGATAGATGGTGGTATCTAAGGACCAGCCAAGAGATTCAAACCCTCTTCATCTTTGCCCAGTTTTTTACCACTGGGCCATGCCAGGTACTGAATAAGTAGCAGTTGTTACAGAAGAGCTAGAAGGAAACATCCAAGTGGTAATGTGGCCACTTGAATTAGAGGTTGGCATCTTTAGAAAACACAAGGCACCTCCTGTGTAAGTTGAGGACAGAAGTGGAATTCATCTGTCCTAGGAGGAATTTGAGCTTTACCCTGAAAATGAGATCATCCATTAGATTTTGACATAGGAGAGGAGCACAAGGATACCATCTTGTCCCAGCAGGACACAGCATGGCTGCAAGCTTTGTGGAGAGGTGTCCAGGCATCTTATTTCTATGGCACTTGCTATGGGATCTAGAAGTCAACGAGTTTGAGAGTTTTGACATTTGGAACTTCCAGTTGTGAAGCAGGAAGATGTACCTCAGAGCTGGAAGCAGGCTAGGAGGATGGGAGTTGGGATAGAGACTGAGGGCCTGCCTTGCTCTATTGGCTTTGTCTGCCTGGGGTAGATGTGCATGAGTGTGGTTTAGAAGGAGACAGACACAGTCAGAGAGATAGGTAGGGAAATAGCAAAAGAACAGAGGTGAGCACACACACACACACACATTGCGGGGATGGGGGAGGGAAGGAAAAACTGTTCAACAGGGCTTAGTTAAATGAATGCATATAGTGGAAAACCATGCAGCTGTTAAAATGATGATGTAGATAAATATTGATATGGAAAGATGGTCACAACATATTGTTGAGTTAAAAAACAAATTACAAAATCGTTTGTACAGCATGAGCTTATTCTGAAAAAAATGAGTTTATATATATAGAAAAAGTCTGTAATGTTTATCTCCATGTGGCAAAATTATGGCTAATTATTTGTGTTCCTTATTTTGAATTTTCTGGTCTTTCTACAATAAATGTATAAGTAAGACAATCTACAGGCATCTGGCTATTACAGTTTCCTGTTGGACAACCTGGCAGGGTCAGCCACTCTTGCCAGAGATTTGGCTTGAGGCAAAGGCTGGATCCCAGTCTTTCTCTTCCTTTGAATTCCCTATCCCTCCTCAGCCTCCTAATCCACAGCAGGAACAAAAATCACTGGGAAGCTGGGGCCATTAGTAGCTTATACTGAATCCTAGCTGCTCAGGAGGCTGAGATCAAGGATCATGTTTCCAAGTCAGCCCCAGGCAGAAAAATCTGTGACTAAGATTTTGTTTTGTTTTTTGCCAATCCTGGGGCTTGAACTCAGTTTGGCTCAGTCCCTGAGTTTCTTTTGCCCAAGGTTAGGTCTCTAGCACTTGAGCCACAGCAACACTTCCAGCTTTTTCTGAATAGTTTACTGAAGGTAAGAGTCTCATAGACTTTCCTGCCCACACTAGTTTGAACTGTGATTCTCAGATCTCAGCCTCTTGAGTAGCTAGGATTACAGTCATGAGCCACCAGCATCTGGTTTGCGAGACTCTTCAGCTAACCAGCAAAAAGACAGAAGTGGAGCTGTGACTCAAGTGGTAGAGTACCAGTCTTGAGGGGAAAAAAGCCACTGAGGTCTCCTCCCCAAGATGCCCCTCACCTCATCAGTGCTTGCATCCCTCTCTACAGCGGGCTCTGCTGGGGATGGGGGCTACCTCAGCAGATGACTCACTGCATGTCCCAATGAAGAATGTGTCCCTGGTGTGGAGTTGGGGTGACGAAATGATGGAAGGAGCTCAGGGTGCCTAAGCTGATTTGAGAGCTGGGGAGGTGTCTGAAAGCTAGAGACTTGGCGGCACTGGACCGGCCACCCCTTGGAGCCTCCTCCTTGTGCCCACAGAATGACTCACCTTGGCACAGACACAATGGTCAGGGGTGGGCACACAGCCTGATTCCCCTCTACTCTCTAGCCCCCTCTCAGATATTTCTGAGAAGTCCATTGAGCAAGGGGCTTGCACTGTACCCTGGCCTGACATCCTGACATCTTAAGATAAAAGCAGTACAGCCCCCCCTGGGGGCTGCCCTTGCTGTATGGCGCCCTCACTGGCGCTGGAGAACAAGGCTCTATTCAGCAAGTGCCTGGGAGTAGAGATCAGGAGCCCAAGTATGGGCAGTGAGAGGCAGAAGGAAGTAGGGGGAGTGTGGGGGAGTCAAGGGGAGGAAAGCAGGGACATCTGCTTCCCAGAAGTCCAAAGACACAGATGACTTAAGCTCCTGGGTGGGATCAGAATGGATGGAGATGGATGGACCTGAAGTCCTCAGACACTCTCCCTCCCAGCACTTGAACCCAGCAGTTCATCGACTCCCAGACCCACCTCTCCCCAACAGCCTGATGTGTGGGAACTGGAAAGATATAAATCTCTATGGAGAGTGAGGGGTGGCCAGGGAGACAGGGTGCTGCAGGAACAAAGATTTTAGCCAGCACAGCCAACTCATTCGTTACTACTTGGTGGAGCTGTCAGACCCAGTTTCCAGGAAGGGAAACAGGGAGGCCAGGCACAGGGGAGGGGTGGCCCAGCAAAGTGGATGAGGGGACAAACAGTAGCCAGGGAGAAGTTCTGTTCTCTTATGAGGACTTCCACATATTCCTTCTGTCACCCCGACATGCAGAGGTCTTGGTTGACCTGCAGGAGAGAGGGCTGGGGACCAATCCTAGCCTCCCATACCAGAATTTCAGGACTGGGGAGAAGGTAACAATGCAGGCCATCTGTGTCCAGTAGGAGTGGGACTCCTGGAGGGTGGCTCAAGTGGTGGAGAGCCAGTCTTCAACAACAACAACAACAAAAAAGCAAGAGTGAGGCCTGTGTTCAAATCACAGTATGGGCACAAAAAAGTAGGGAGTGAGACTAAACAGGAAATGAGAAAATCAATTGTTTTCTGAGACAGGGCACAGGTTGGTTTTCTTTAGCAAATTCCTTCCATCGAGAAGGCCTGTGCACCGTGGCTTATTATGGGCTCTGAGAAGTCATCCAGAGCCTTTTCTTGACCCAGCTTCCTAGGGAGAGGGTCTCCTTGCTCAGTGGTCTGGACTCCAGGCACTTCCTGCCTCTGGCCAGGCTGATATACTAGGAAGCCCTGACTGGACTCAGTGACCTCAGTGGGGTGAGAAAAGCTCTCCCCATGGTGGAACTACAGCTCAGCCACACCCCCTCAGGATATGCCAGAAGCCGTTGCCAGGCAGCCCAGGCACTGCAGGTCCAGCCCACTCCTCCATAAAGTCCTCTCATCTCAGGAGCCAGGAGAGAGACAGGGCAGGATGGAACGGAGACATGTCACTTCTGCTCGGCGCTCCTACACCTCCTCAGAAATGGTAGTCAGGGGCCTGGGTCCCAGCCACCGCCTAAGTGCCGGTCTCCGCTTGAGTTCCTGCCCCAGGGTCCCCCTGGCTCGAATGTCTTCTCCACTCCCAGCTCGAGTGGACTTCTCCCTGGCCGGGGCACTCAATGCCGGCTTCAAGGAGACCCGGGCCAGTGAGCGGGCTGAGATGATGGAGCTCAATGATCGCTTTGCCAGCTACATTGAGAAGGTTCGGTTTTTAGAACAACAAAACAAGGCACTGGCTGCTGAGCTGAACCAGCTGCGGGCCAAGGAGCCCACCAAGCTGGCTGATGTCTACCAGGCTGAGCTTCGGGAGCTTCGGCTGCGGCTTGATCAACTTACTGCCAACAATGCTCGGCTTGAAGTGGAGAGAGACAATCTGGAACAGGACCTGGGCATCCTGAGGCAGAAGTGAGGAGGGGGGCAGGGAAAAGGGCCTTTTACCAGAGAACCAGAGTCCCTGAGAGGGAGTGCGGATGGGACTACATCTTTGGGCTCGTACTCGGCCTGGGTCTCCCCACCTCTGGGAAGTGGGGAGCTGCCCTTGCCCTCCAACATGATAGAAAGACCAGGAGGAGGCCCAGAGCCTCAGGGATCTCATTCACAAATATCTTGGGCTAGGTAACAGAGTACTCTCAATACCTAGGGAAGGCTGTTGGAGCAGTCAGGGCCCTAGTGACCAGGGGCTTTACGTTTCATTCACGAATAGTGTGAATGAATATTTGGAAGGGGGTATTATCTATTTTGAGCCTAGATCCATATATAAGAAGGTGGCAAAGCCGGGCACTGGTGGCTCATGCCTGTAATTCTAGCTGTTCACGAGGCTGAGATCTGAGAATCATGGTTCAAAGCCAGCCCGGGCAAGAAAAGCTGTGAGTCTCTTATCTCCAATTAACCATCAGGAAACCAGAAGTGGTGCTATGGCCCAAGTGGTAGAATGCTAGCCTTGAGCTGAAGAGCTCAGGGACAGTACCCAGGCCCAGAGTTCAAGCCCCATGACTGAAAAAATAAATAAGAAGAAAAAGAAGGTGGCAAGAGAAGGTTGGTATCTGCAAGCAACTGAGATTTGGAAGTCAAGGAGGTGAGGAAAAGAGTAGGCAGGGTGCTGGGCACTGATAGCTCACACCTGTAACCTTAGCTACTCAGGAGGCTGAGATCTGAGGATGGTGATTCAAAGCTAGCCCAGACAGGAAAGTCCATGAAAAAGTCTCTGACTTATACAAGTTGTGAGGCAGAGATCATAATAAAATCCATCTCCCCAGGTAGTGTGACTAGGGACTCAGAGGAAACCCCCCAGGGGCTGAGTGGCGGGCAAGTGCATGTAGTCAGTGGTGCAGGAGAGAAAGAGAAATGCAGAGACAGAGAGACAGAGACAGAGCGAGACAGAGACAGAGAGAGACAGAGGAGAGAATGTGTGTGTGTCTGTGGATGCAAATGTAAGGTGGTAGATGTGCCTGTATGAGCAGGAACAGGTGCACCAACCCCGATAAGACTCTTAGTAATGAGTTAAGGCAAAAGCCCTTATCTGCTCACCCTTCCAAACAATGCCCCTGTCTAGGACCCTCCTGGCCTTCAATGCTTTTGCCACTGTACCAGCTACCAGGGGTCTCTGTGACAGCCACATCCAGGGAGAATGGGGTAGGGATCTAGGAGTCTTCAGGAAAGCTTGGACCCAGGAATGTGTTCTATCTACCATCCTAGGCTCCAGGATGAAACCAACCTGAGGCTGGAGGCTGAGAACAACCTGGCTGCATATAGACAGGTCAGAGAGGTGGAGGGAAGGGGCAGGGAGGGGAGAAAAGGGTTGATGGCAGCCTACCCAAACATCCTCCCAAACCTAGCTCTCTGAAGCTACTCCTCAGAGCCTCCTCCCCAGAAGGAGGGGTAAGGCAAGGCTGGGGAATGGGGAAGAAGAGGTGGCTGGGGTCAGAGCAGCCCAATGTCCCCTTGTGCTCCAGGAAGCAGATGAAGCCACCTTGGCCCGTCTGGATCTGGAGAGGAAGACTGAGTCACTGGAGGAAGAGATCCGATTCTTGAAGAAGATCCATGAGGAGGTAAGGCCAGGACAGGGGGAGGGAAGCCCAACACACAGACTCAGCTGAGACAGACAGACACTTAGACAGATTTACTCAGAGACAAAAGTAGAGAAAGAGATTGGCAGATAGAAACTGAGAGACAGAATGAACGAATGAACAAATGAATGAATGAATGAGGAGAGAGAGTACAGAGCATCCCCAACTCCTGGGGAAGTTCACACAGATGGTACCCCATGTACCTTGTAGCCTCAATTGTTCTTTCACATCAGCCCTGTAAGACAGGAATCCTTCCTACTATCCTCTTTCACAGAGGATGCTGAGGCCCGGAGGGGTTACAGGGCATTAAGGTCACATAGTAACTGACTCCATTCCTGCCATCTGTTCAGGCCCTGGCTTCATAATCTATGATCCTGAGGAACCTGGGTGCCCACAAGAAGCACCTGGCTCCTGCCCATCCATCTCTGGATGAGGATGCCATGAAGTTCCCAAATTCCTTTTCCCACACCCCTTAGCCTGGGCATGCACTTCCTCCAGCAAGGGCTGCCTCTCTTTCCTGGACCAACACCCATGGATGAAGTGCAAGCAGAAGAGAAGATGTGAAGATGTTGGCAGAGCCTTGCCTGGAACCCTGCCATCCCTTCTCTCCCTTCCAGGAGGTGCAGGAACTTCAGGAGCAGCTGGCCCGACAGCAGATCCACGTGGAGATGGATGTGGCCAAGCCAGACCTCACAGCAGCCCTGAGAGAGATTCGCACACAGTACGAGGCTGTGGCGACCAGCAACATGCAGGAGGCAGAGGAGTGGTACCGGTCCAAGGTAGCCCTGCCTTGAGCTCAGCTGGACAGATAGATCCTAGCCAGGAAAAGAAGAGGGAATGGCATCCCCAGAGGACAATGAAGCCTCAAGGGTTGGGAGGTAGAAAAGGGAGAGGTAGAGGAAGAAAAGGGAGCCCAGGGATCCAGCTCAGGTATTAGCAACACAAGCTGAAGCCAGTCTGAATAGGGTACTGCCTGATGCATGTGAAGGTCTCCCCCAAAGCTGGGGGACCCACTCTCCACAGTGGGGAGGGACAAGGCTCAGTCCCAAGGATGGAGCTACCCATGATTATGTTCTGGATTCTGTGACACTGTTCATCCAGTGTGCCCAGGTGCTGTGCAAGGGGTCAAGGCCCAGTAGTAGTGACTACAGTCCTTCTGTCCATTCACCGTCTCTGGGAATAATCCCAGCCAGCATCCTTGGGGTGAGCTGGGGTAGTGCTTAGCTCCCTGATTTCCCAGAGATCATGCTGCCCAGTGGGCCCATGCTGCACCAGATGTAAACCCTACAAACACCCAGCCCTCCTCTTAGTCTAAGCCTTCTGTTTAGTTTGCGGACCTTACAGACGCTGCTGCCAGAAATGCTGAGATGCTCCGACAGGCCAAGCACGAGGCCAATGACTATAGGCGCCAGCTGCAGGCCTTAACCTGTGATCTGGAGTCTTTGCGTGGTGTGGTGAGTACAGACAGGGCTGGATCCCACGGCCTTGAGACCACCAGCTGGGGCTGGCACTTGCTGCTGTAGGAGTTGCTAAAAGGGAAGGGGATTGGGCTGAGGGCAGGGCTCCAAAACATTAGCAGAGTTGGACATAGGGCTAGGACTGGGCCCTGGGATCCTGGCCAGGTGCAGGGATCCTAAGGGACCTGCCCACTGCCCCCACTCTGCAGAATGAGTCCCTGGAGAGGCAGATGCGAGAGCAGGAGGAGCGTCATGCCAGGGAGGCCGCAAGGTACCAGGAGGCCCTCACCCGGCTGGAAGAGGAAGGTCAGAGCCTCAAGGACGAGATGGCCCGCCATCTGCAGGAGTACCAGGACCTGCTGAACGTCAAGCTGGCTCTGGACATTGAGATCGCCACCTACAGGAAGCTGCTGGAGGGCGAGGAGAACCGGTGAGGCCTAATCATAGCCCCTGCTCCTTCCCCTTAGAATTCTCCCTGCTGCCTCTTCCTACAGTCCCTCTTGCTCCCTGTGCCAGCCTAACACACAGTAGGTATTCAATAAATGTCTGACAAATAGATCCAACCAGGGGCTGGGAAGGTGGCTCAGTGGTAGAGTGCTTGCCTTGCATGCATGAGGCCCTGGGTTCGATTCCTCAGCACCACATAAGTAGATCCAACCAATATTAAGTGCCAAGGTGGTGGAGATGAGTCCTCCTCTAGCCTACTTCTCTTTACCTCATTGGTATTGTCTGCCTTCTTGGAAGGCTCTTCACCACTGCCTTCCCCCACCCCCTTGTATTGCCCACACTTCTGCGCTACTCCACCAAACTCTGCTGGCAGGCAGTTCCTCATCCACTGAAACTGGGGAAAGCTGAGGGTGGAGTCAGACTCATAGCCACTGAAATGTCTTGGGGTTAGCTTGCTGTCCTGTCTGGAACCTGGCTTGGAAATGTCCTAAGGCATTCTCATCATCCCTGTCCCTCCACTGTCTTCCAGCATCACCATTCCAGTGCAGACCTTCTCCAACCTGCAGATCCGAGGTCAGTAGAGCTGGGCCTTGTGGGAAGATGCTGGTTTCTATGCCCCTTCACCCCCCGCCCCCAGGCCTATGGCTGCTCTGGTGTGGGATCGATGAGGGCAAAGGAGTGTGTGCTTTTACGGGGGTCCTTCATAACTCACTGCAGAGTTCCTAGCCAGAGCACAGTCTTCCAGAGCATTTGTAGGTAGGGGGAGTGTCATTGTCCTTGTTTTGCTGTGTCCCATCCTGCATTTCTCTTCTTACACCCTTTTCCACTGTAAACCAGAGGGTGGGAGAGGTGGATTGAGGTCTCAACCAGGGCTTATTGTGCAAGTTCTGGGTAAACTCTGCTCTTCTGAGTGCTTTATGTTTTGTCTTCTTTTGTTTTAACTGCTCTTCACTACAGGGGGCAAAAGCATCCAAGAAGGGGAAGTTCACAAGGTCACAAGACATCTCAAAAGGCTCACAATACAAGTTATACCCATACAGGCTCACCAGATTGTAAATGGAGCCCCCACTCTCGGTTAGCTATCTGCCTCTCAGCCATTGCTTTTCCCAGCTCAATAGGGAGTAAATCTCATGCCGCTTTTGGGCTTCCTCCTTCTAGGCTTCCTTTGCCCAGGAGCCTCAGACCCTAGCCCAGGACCTGGCACTGGTTAACTAGGTTATACTAGCAGAACTGGTCAATGCTAAAGGTAGTATTTCCCTGAGAGCTCAGATGAGATGCTCTGGGGCCTCTGGGCACATGCCAGCCTCTGCCTCACCTCTTCTGTCACTGGGAAGTCCCCTTGAGGTTCACTCTTGCTTGATTCATCTGTCTCCAAGGTTCTGTTGCTCTGCTTGGTGCTGATTCAGCCCAGAGGATTCATTCCCTCTAGACTCCTGCTCTTGTAGTGAATAAAGTTTTATGTTCCTTGCTCTTAATTTTAAATATTAGTGAGTGTGACATGTCATATTTTTTCTCTCTAAGGGGGGCAAACTAAATTACTTTTTTACTGGTATGTGGCTCTCAAATGAGTCTTAGACTAAGGAAAAAAATCCTCTTCTGGCTTAGAATATTTAGGAACATTAGACATGCATGTCCCAGGACTTAACTGAGCAACAGAAGATTGACCAGACTAACTAGGTAGAAGTAACACTGTCAAGTGGTAGACAGTAAAAGGTCAGTGGGGTCCAGATAAATGACAGAGAAAGTAGAAAGTGAGGAAGAGGAGAACAAGATCCATATGTATTGAGCACTAATATGTGCCTGGTGTTTAACATACTTTATTTCAGTTAATTGCCTCTTCTCTCCCACCTAGAGAAGTAGATACCACCAGCTCTGTTTTGCAAATAAGGAAATTCAGCCTGAGATCAATGAGTCTGCCCGTCAGCAGTGTGGCTGATCATGGCTAAGCTGGGACTTGAGTTATTCCTCTAGACCTCAAGCCTGTGTGCTTCATCCTTGGAGCAGTGCTGGGTTGTCAGGAAGCCAGGTGCCAGATCAGGGAAAAGTCATACCAGAAGGTATAATAGAGCACTGGACAGAAGCAGGATGTGCCCTGCTGGGTACTTGGTGGGGGCGAGAGCGGGGGGGGGGGTCTCCACTTTCCTTTAGAAGAGCCAACGCTCTCCCTTGCTGGCTTGAATGGGTTCTTGAGCTCATAGTGTGGATATATGATGGGGAAAGTGGGGCTCAGGAGAGGATGTCTAGTGTCCTGAGAGGCCTCCTCTCCTCACACCTGCAGAAACCAGCCTGGACACCAAGTCAATGTCAGAAGGCCACCTTAAGAGGAACATCGTGGTAAAGACTGTGGAGATGCGGGATGGAGAGGTGAGGACAGGCTCTGGGTGACCCTAGTAGTTCTTGAGGCTGGCCTATGGAGAAAGCCTGGGACTTGGGCATAAATGGCACACTGATTTTCTGGAGCATCCCTGGAACTCTGGGAGCCCAATGGAACCTTAATGTAATTCCATTTGTCCGACGCCTCCACTGGTGGTGCTAAGAGGGACCTAGGCTCCTTGATAAGGTCCCAGCTCAGGCTGTATTCCTTTCTCTCCCTCTGGACTCAGGTGTCTCCAAGACCAGGCCAAAGAGAGACAGAAACACACACACACACACACACACACACACACACACACACACACACACTTAGTAGTTTTAGCTTGGGATGGGACAGCTTCAGAGATGAGGGCTTACAGATAACATATTTCCACAGCCCCTTCACATTCCCAGTGGAGATAGCAGCAAAAGCAGTTGCTACTCTTCTTATATCATTAGCTTCCGATGTGACAGGCATGGTGCTAAATGCTTTGCCAGTGGTGTCCCACCCCCTGCTCTGATAGTTACTATCAAGAGAAGAAAGACCTAGGACAGTTGAGGACTTGCCCAGCCTAGCACGGTGGGACTGGGGTCTGCTGTGAGCTCCTAACTATGAACTGTGCCCCTTTCCTGTCTCCTGCAGGTCATTAAGGAGTCCAAGCAGGAGCACAAGGATGTGATGTGAGGAGTACTCCACAGTAGGAGCAGGATAGTTGCTCCTCCTGGGACGATAGCTCATTTCCCCAGATCTGATTCCCTGCCCCACTCCTCCCTTCTCTTCTAGGTCTCTATACCAGCTTGCTGCCCTAGTTCAGTCAACATTAGGCTGCCAGATGGCATCAACCTAGCACCCAGCACCTCCAACTAACAAGGCACTTATCCCAAGGAATAGTCTAGAGAGGGGAGGGCGGTGGTCAACAGCTTGGATTATACTAGGGAGAAAAGAGATAAGTTGGGCAAGGCAGGGGGACCTAACCAATCACATCCTCCTTCCTCTTGTTGTTATGGCAACTGTTGCCAGAACTGGAGGTTTCTGGGCACTAAACTTCCAGTTTCCTCAGGCTGTTGGAGGATGGGAGGGGCCAAACCTCAGATGAAAAGGGGAGCTTCCAAGGCAAGGTAGTCCTGGCCAGAGGCTAGTTCCTAAGAATAACCCTGATCTCTCCAAGAGTAAGTGGGGAAAGTCTAGATACATAGAGTAGTCACAACAGAATTTCTGGCCTGTCCAGATGCCACAGGGTGGGGACAGGGGGGGGGGAGTGTTCAAGTATCTCAGCCCCAAGCTGCCATGCTGGGAACCAGTCCATATGCATATGGGAGCTTGGTTGCACATGGCAGCTTGGGTTTCAATACTTGGGGGCTAGTGTAAGTAGAGAAGGGCTAGGTGCTGAGGAGTACCAGAGGGGTTAGCTGGCCCCTAACTGTGGGTACAAAGTGGTCAATCCCAGGACACCCCCCTCTGTCTAGGGACGTTGGTAGTGGAGGTGGTTGTGAAGACAAGGCCAGATATCAGAGAGGGCAGGTGTGAGTGATTGGTTACCTCAGGTCATGGGAATCAAGGAAGTGACTTTTTCTCTTGAAGACACTGAAACAGGAAAGGGGGGGGGATTGCTGTCCAGAGGACAGGGCACAGCTGTGTCCTTTTCCAAAGCCTCTTCCTAACTGCATAATCCCTGGCTACTCAGGCCTCTGTCTTCAACTGCTGCCCCTCTACCCTGGCAAAGACACCACCCCATGTGTGAGCTTCTCCACTGGATGCTGCTTTTCACTAAGCCAAGCACCCTCTGCATCCACTCTTACCTGCATTCAAAACTTCCTCTACCCTACTTTACAATGAGAGAAATAGGGGTGTGAGTTCAGTGAACACATTGGCTTGTGTTCCTGCAGCCTGAAGGCATGGCACTTGACTCCACCCTAGATGCCTGCTCTGGTCCCCATGGGTGAACAGGCAGGTGGTGGGTGTCCGTGCCCAAAATGAGGTTGAAAGGATCCACCATATGAAGCCAAGAAATGGAGGGGGGGTTCCTTCCTCTTTCAAGACTTGATGTCCCAGACACCCTTTGCTGCCACCCCCACTGCTAACCTTCAGGGCAGTGCTGGTGCCTTTACCCACTGAGGAGCAATAAAGACATGTACCTGAGCCTTCTCCATTGTGGACTCTGCTATGTTCCTGAGACAGTAGGGCTGGGGCCAAGACCTAACCTTGAATAAGCACCTAAGTAGCCTCTTATCATCCATCATCCATCATCTTGGGAGCCCAAGCCCTCATTGGCAGCAGCCACATGCCAACTTCAGCTCTGACCCACTTTGCTATTAGGGTTCTGATGTTCCAGCCTCTGACCTACCCTCTTCCTCCTCCCCAGTCCTCAGTCTAGGTGTAAGTACTCAGGAAAGCTCTGATTCAATCTCCTCTTTCTCCACTCATTCCCATCCGGTCTTTACCCTCATTCCTACACTTGCTGTTTCTACCTGGGGTTCCCTGGATGATGCTGGGAAGAAGGCAGAGAGGAGACATGTCAGCTCCCTCCACTCTTTTTTTTCCTTCCTGTCCCTGCTACTCCCAGTTCAAAGTACCAGTATTTTGCCATCTGGCCTTGTCCTCAAAGGCAAGATTGCAAAGCACCATTGATACTATTCTGATTACTACACTGGTAGGAGATTCCATTTACTTCATCTCTGATCCAAGTGTGACACAAGATGACACCTGTCCCTGGCTTTTCCCCTAAACTCAATCCCCCATCTCCCATTCACTCCAGTTTTCCCCATTTCCCAGATCAAACAAACTTCAGACCCCCCATGAAATTAGGGGGCAGGCTGTAACTAAGATATTTGTCCACATGTCCCAGCCCAAGGTTCCTATCCAGAAACATCTGGTAATCATTTAATAAAACACATCAAAGCACAGCTGGTCTTCAGAGGTGGGAAAGAAACAGCTTAGAGGGAGATGTTGGGACAGCAGCGACAACAGTAACAGCAGCAGCGACAGAGTTGAATGATGACAAAGACTACTACAATGAGCAGGTAGGCAAGCAGGGTGAGCACCACAGCAGAACGAGCCTCAGGGTCCAACAGTGAGGCTGGGTAGTGCCCTTCGGATTTCACACCCAGCCGGAACCCAGCGATCCGTACCCCCTGCCGCCAGCAATAGTATATGCCACGATCACTCATCTGGGTGAAGCGAATGTGGAGCTGATTGCCATGGTCAATGAACACCCTCATGGATCTGTTGACACCTATCAGGTACTGTCTACGGTACAGTTGCTCATGGTCCTTGTCCCAGGCCACTGCATGCTCTGGCCGAGCCCCAGGACAGGAAATGATGAGCCCATGACCTAGGCTTTGCTGGTGGAACTGAATGGGGACCTGGGGTATCCAGGGCTTGCTGCCCACTTTCGACAGGTAGCTGTAGATGGCCGGCATGCCCTCCTGGATCTGGGTCTTCTCACAGGGCACCAGGCAGCTCTGAATCTGAAGCTCAGGCATATGGTACTGGGCCATGGTGCGCAGCTTCCTCGGCACAGCATGGGAGCCACAGGATACCACATCCGGAACTGTCTTTTGATATCGTGGGGAGAGGTTAGGGCTCTTCAGGTAGCAGAGGCCGATGCGCCACTGCTCTCCACGTACCCCGCAACGGTCACAGGGGGTCCACTCCCAGAAGGTAGTGAAGACATGGAGGCTCCCATGGTGTTCGTCTGCAAAGGGCTCCTGTCCTTCGTCCTTGAAGGTGGCCACCATCCCATCATTGCTCTGGATGTCGACATCATAGGCATAAAAGTAATCCCCGTTGCGGGTGCCACAGAAATACAGGCCTGAGTCCTCAGGCTGGGCCCGGAAGACCAACAGGCTGAACATGCGGATGCTGAAGCGGACCAACATGTCACTGCCCACTCGCACATGAGATGCCTCTGTCAGCAACCGCCCATCAAAGTCTGTCAGCACTTTGGTGTGACTGCTACCCAGTTGCTTTTGGTAGTACCAGACCACAGATAAGACCTCCTCGGGTTTGCAGTGGCAGGGAAGCTCGAAGCTCATGTCAGCCAAATAGGCTGCATTGTCGAACATCAGAAAAGCAGGGCAAGGAGTACTCTGGAAAATGTTCTCCTTCTCCACGATTTCAAAAGCCTGGAGACTGACCCAGGTCCATAGAAACATGGTAGTATGAGCCAGACTCATGCCTGCTGGAGGTGAGGGCTGGCAGAGCAGGGCACTGCAACTCAAGGCCTATGGGTTTCTAGAAATCACTATGGACAGGAGGTTTCTATATGAGGAAAGAATTAAGCAGCCAGGAAAAGAAATCACCGATCTGCAGAGAAAGCAGCCAAATGCAATGCCATTTATTCCCAACTGATATGCAAATGCCCTTCTAAGGTTCCAGGCCTGTTCTCAAGAGAAAAATCATTCTAGAATCTGGCCCTCTCTAAACTTTCTAGAACACTGGCACTTACCTAAGAATGGGGGAAAGGAAACTAGAATGAGCCATAGTCCTTCTGCCTCACTTTGAGAGACCCTGCTCTGCCTGTCCAGGATCAAATTCTTCACTCTCATCAGTTTAGGAGAAGGAAACTCTCTCCTATACATCTGGCCATCCTGGATGCTGGCCACACCTGAGCCAATGGCTTGGGGCTTTTTCAGGCCCAATCTGTGCAAGAACTTAGTCCCTAGAGCAAAATTCTGTACCTCAAATGAAACAGCTGTGGATTAACTGTCCAGTCATTGGCTCTGGGTTATAAATATTCTGGGAAAGCACTATGCAAACCAGTGTTTGTTTTCCATGGAAGATAAATGAGTTTGCTTTTTTTCTTCCTCAGAGAAGAAATGCTAGTATGACTAGCATTTGGTTGGGAACATACCCCTTTCTCAGGGCCAGCAGACTAAAAGGATGGCAGACTTGAAAAGTGGTAGGTAAAACATGGTGACAAAAAAGGACTAGAGAAGTAGGCAAGACTCTAGCTTTTGCTCTAAACAGTCCTAGCTCAGTAAGTGGCAAGTGGGACATGGCTCAAGTGGAAAAGTGTAAGGCCTCAATTTTACATACCAACAGAACAAAACACAACACAGGATAAAGGGTGTAAGTATAGATCTCTCATTGCAATCTTGCAGAAAACCTAAGACCAAACAGCACAAAATACTCCCAGGGACCACTGGTATCTCTGAGGGCAACTAGTCCTATCAATGGACCTGGTACAGCTTGAGCAGCTCCTCTAGGAGCCTCTCTTCCTCCTGAAGCCCACCAGTCAGCTCCTCTACACCCAACTTCTCCTGGCTGAGCCCTTCCTGCATGGGTTTGGGGGTGCTCGCAGCCTGTAACTTCTGAAATAGGCATTGGCAGCTCTCCCTCTCTGCCTGGCTCAGCAGACTCATGTTCAATGTGAAGCGCCCAGTGTTGGCCAGGCTATGCAGGATCCCCAGCACAGCAACCTGATCACTTGGCCTCACATGATCAGCCAGTGCCACCAGCAGCTCCCCTAGAAGTCCAAATCCCACATCTGTCTGGAAGAGGTGACCCAACTTAGGACCCCCAAGCTGTAGCAGGGCCTGATAACGCTGTAGTCCGCTCCTCAGTTGTCGCCTCCAATCTCGGTAGAACTCTGCTGAAGTCTTGGGCTGGAACAGAGTTGTCTCCTGGATCACAAAAGGAAAAGGGTCCAGAGCTCTTCTGGCCGTTCACAGTGATGGAAAGGGAGAAGGGGGCTTGTGGGGTTTCATTTTAGCTTTGGGACTGCTAAGTACTAGGACAGAGAAAGAGAGCCCAAAGAATCCAAGCTAGTATATATGTTACTCATTTGTACTGGTTTTCCTATTGAGGAAGAGGGCACAGTGCTGTCTTTTCAAAGTTTGCTCTGAGGAGAGTACAATTTCAGGAGAGAGAAAAGAAAAAGTAAGTGTCAAGGAACTGACAGACTGTATCTTTCTTTCAACACTATCATAGAGTCATAGTACTATCAATCTAATCTGAGTACAAAACTCAAAGGACTGATGGAAGAGTCGGTGTGTGTGTGTGTGTGTGTGTGTGTGTGTGTGTGTGTGTGTGTGTGTGTATCAGAACTAGGGCTTGAATTCAGGGCCTGGATGCTGACCCTTAGCTTTTTTTGCTCAAGTGTTCAAAGCTAGAACTCTACCACATGAGCCACAGCTCCACTTCTACCTTTTTGCTGGTTAATTGGAGATAAGAGTCTCACATACTTTCCTGTCTAGGCTGGCTTTGAACCCAATCCTCAGGTCTCCGCATTGTGTGTAGCTAATAGGTATGAGCCACCAGCACCCAGTGAAAAAACTTACTGAACCTGATTTTTCACACATTATGCCCAATTAACTCAGCCTCACCACCTACTGGTTGCTGATCGTTCCGGGTTTGGTGGCAAAATACTGTCTATTGGATTCTCAGGAGAATAATGATGTACTGAGGTACTGAGGTACTGAGGTAAAGAGACTGGGCCTCACCTACCTGAAAGATTTCAGTGGCCACATCCTGGAAGGTCCTTCCTGGAGTACTGTGGCAGTTCCAAAGCGCGGTTCTCTTTCCTCCCATCTTGTCCTTCCGCTCCAGTGGCTTCAGATGTGATGCAAGAACAATACCTCTGGGGGAATGGACAGAGATTAGGATATAAACTTAATATTGGATCACTGGGTGTGAGGCAGCCACTTTGTCTGATACAGGTAGACAATTAAGAAATGCTGTTCTCAGACGCTTATATGTATTAACTCCATTATAACAACAATTACTTTCTTTGGTACGTGAAGGATGGAGGCTCAGGAAGGGCAAGGAATGTGTAGATGATCATATAAATAGTAAAAGGTGGGGCCAGGATGGAAGCCCAGCATGGTCTGAATCTAAGGTGCTTGGTATAAACTACTATTGCCCACCATGACATAAGGGCCTAAGAAAAATTGTACTGTGGCTAGAAATGTGGCTTAGTGGTAGCAAGCTTGCCTAGCACACATGAAGCCCTGGATTCAATTCCTCAGTGCCACATAAACAGAAAAAGCCAGAAAGAGGCACTGTGGCTCAAGTGGTAGAATGTTAGCCTTGAGCAAAAGAAGCTCAGGGTCAGTGCCCAGAGCCCTGAGTTCAAGCCCCAGGACTGGCGAAAGACAGACAGACAGACAGACAGGAAGAAGGAAGGGAGTACGGAAGAGAGGAAGAAAGGAAGAAAGAAAGGGAAAAATCGTACTGAGCCAACCTGAATTCTTCATAGGAAGGCACCCTCTGCTCTACCGCTCGCAACTTGGCAGCATTCTCCCGTTTGTACTTCTCATCAGCAGCGAGGGCAGCTTGCAGTTCTTTCTCCAAAGCCTTGAAGTTGATTATGTCATTCTTTTCCATGGTTCATGCCTGTGAAGGCAAAGAGAATGCATATTAAAGGGAGTATTAGGGAAAAGCAAATACCTTTGCATTTTCTGCCAGAACATAAAATGACACAAAAGCACTCCAGCACATATCTTGAGAATGTTGCAAAAATCTAGCTTTGTACATTACAGATAGGAATTACATGGTGAGGAATGACACAAAACTTGTCTCTGATGGGCTGGGAAGGTGGCTCGGTGGTAGAGTTCTTGCCTTGTATGCATGAGGCCCTGGGTTCGATTCCTCAGCACCACATAAGCAGAAAAACCTGGAAGTGGCTCTGTGGCTCACATGGTAGAGTGCTAGCTTTAAGCTGAGGAGCTGAGGGACAGTGCCCAGGCCCAGAGTTCAGGCCCCATGACCAACTACAACAACAACAACAAAAAAACAAAAACAACTTGTTTTGTTTTATACTTTTAAAAATAGTTTAGGGCTGGGCACCAGTGGCTCACACCTGTATTTTTTAAAAATTTTTTGGGGGGTCTGGTTGTGGGGCCCAAACTGGGCCTGGGCACTGTCCCTCAGCTCTTCAGCTCAAGGCTAGCACTCTACCACTTGAGCCACAGCGCCACTTCCGGCTTTTTTCTTATGTGGTGCTGAGGAATCAAACCCAGGGCCTCAGGCATGCAAGGCAAGCACTCTACCACTGAGCCACCTTCCCAGCCCCTGGCTCACACCTGTAATCCTAGCTACTCAGGAGGCTGAGATCTGAGGATCACGCTCTAAGGCCAGCCTGGGTAGGAAAGTCCGTGAGACTCTTATCCTCCAATTAACCACCAGGAAAACCAGAAGTGGTGCTGTGGCTCAAGTGGTAGAGTGCTTGCCTTGAGCTCAACAGCTGAGGGACAGTGTATTGGCCCAGAGTTCAAGCCCCACAATCAGCACCAAAAAAGAAAAGAAAAGAAAAGAAAAAAATAGAAACAAGTTTAGGGACTAGGGGTGTAGCTCAGTAGTAGAGTATTTGCCTAGCATAAATAGGTCCTGGGTTCTATCCCTATCTCCTCAGCTTTCTGAGGAGACAATGAGATTTCAGAATTCAGTTCTCTCTTTCTCCCAAATAAGATCACTCTATAGTACGTTGTTGCCATAGAGGATTTCATTCAAAAGCCTGACTCTTGTTAGATATTTTTTAGCCCAGGAATAAAATTTCATCCTTCCCTAAATTTCTTTCATGGGGAAATATACTTTTCAGCCAGAGTACAAATGAGGCACAAGAAGTCAAAAAGTGACAGAGGAGGAGCTCAGTGATCCCCATTCCCACATTCTTCTGTTTAAGCCACGACTAAAGGCACAGGTTCTATGCAACCTTTGAGTATCTGAAGTCAATTGGTTTCTACAGGAAATCTATGGGTTGCAGTGTGGCTCTGGCATTTACTTGCTATAAGACCTCTCTACCTCAAGTTACTGATGAGTTGAGCTAGATTTTGTAGTCCAATCATGAACAGATCTGGGAGGGAAAGGAGTTGGTCTGAGAGCAAATTCGGTGTGAAAGAAAACCCATAGCCACCCTATCCCAAAAGTTGAGAAGGTGAATACTAAGGAGTGTAGACTAGCCGGCAACAAAACTCGTGTCCAAGTTCCTGCTCATTTCTTTTATTGGTGAAAGACAGGTTGTTTTTGTTTGTTTTTGAGAGGTGGGTCTTGCTAGATCGTCCACCCTTGTCACATACTACGGGACTCCTGATCATTCCGGCTCCGCTTCCCGATTAGCTGAGCCTACAGGCGAGAACAACACCCGGTTTCCTGTCAAGTTCTGAGTCGTCAGAGGTAAAGAACAACTCTTCCAGCCGCCCCCTCCCCAGTCCCCAGACCCTCACCCCAGCAGCCCTGGCCTTGGTCCCCTTGCTTTCTTTGGGCATCCCCTGAGGCGTTCAGCACATTCCGCGCCCATCAACCGAGGTTGCCCAGCAACTGCGCCAACAGGCAGACCACGTGATCTTCCCGAAGGCCCCCTTCAGGGTGGCCTCGAGGCGCCTGATCAAATTCTTGCGTCCTTAGGCCCTCACTTTATTTGGAGCAGCCCACACTTCGGTTTGGGGATCCTCAACGTCACCTCTTCGGCTCCTGTCTCTCGGCCGGCATTCGTTCGAGTCGATATTCAGGCAGAGAGCTGTCCTCAGAGGCAGAAACGCGGCCGCGGCGTCTGCGGGGTCCTTCCTGGAGACGGGCGCCGGCGTCGTCGCGGCGTGGGGCGGAAGCGCGGTCTCCGGCGGCGGACGGGAGGTCTGGGCTAAGCGGGATCGACGAGAGTTGGCGCGTGTTAGCCGCACCGCAGGGTTGCTTCGAGTGGGGAGAGAAATTAAAGGTCAGGTCGGGTGTTTTCTTGCTATCTACCCCTTTCGCTTTATAGATGGTTAAACTGAGGCCTGGAGCGGGAAGGGAATAAAAGACGCACCCCCTCACCCACCCCGCCTACTCCCACTCCCACTCCCCCCATCCTCAATAGCATCCTGTCTCGGCCGAGGTCGTGTGCTAAATCTCCCGTCCCTCCTCGATTCCTTGTCCATCAGTGCTGCCTTCACCTCTCCTCTGTTAAGCGTTTTCTGTCTTTGGGTGCCCCTTGGAGCCTGCTTTGTAGCGGGGAGGGTGCAGGTCTGGTTCCAAGAGCCACTAGTTTTGCGCAACGGTGGACAAGTCTTTTTGTATTGGAAGAGGTATTCGTTCATTCATTCAACAAACCCTTGAGGGTCTATTTTGTGCTAGGATCTTTTTTTCTTTTTGCTCCATTTTATTGTTACTAACGTTTAACAATAGCTGCTGCAGACCTTTCATTCGTTTACTTTTTATTTTCTTTTTAAAAATGTTTTTATTGTCTTGAAGGAGTTGTGCAAAGGGGTTAACATTCAACAAAACACTTTATAAGGACAAGCATCTTGACCGATAGCACCCCTTTAATCATTCTCCATATCTACTAACTAGAGTTTAAGTACTTTGTTAACCTAGAACAGTGTTGGCTGTGGACATAAAACTGGTAGAGAGCTTGCCTAGCATGTGTGAGGCCCTGGGTTTAATCCTCAGTATAAAACTGGTAGAGAGCTTGCCTAGCATGTGTGAGGCCCTGGGTTTAATCCTCAGTGCCGCAAACACACACATAAGAACAACATACAATGAAACAGTGTAAGTGGGGTTTGTTGAGTGTATGGGTGACATTTTAGTAGGAACTTCAAACTGCAGTAACCAGGTATGTAAACAACAGACAGAAGAGTGCAAATGCAGTGTCCTGAGGTAAATAGCAACTAGGCTTGTTCCATGAACAGACTTCCATTGTGTAGGTATTGCTGAAATAAGCACATGAACAGCTTCTAGGAAAGTGTCTACAGTTGCTTGATGAGAATCTTGGGAGGATGAAATGAACACACATGTGGCAGATTTTGAAAAGAATATTTGAGCCGGGCCATGGAGGCTCATGCCTGTAATCCAAGCTACTCAGGAGGTTGAGATCTGAGGATATCGATTCAAAGCCTGCCCAGGCTGGAAAGTCCTGTGAGACTCTTACCTCCTGTAAACCACTCGGAAAACCGGAAGTGGTGCTATGGCTCAAATGATAGAGCGTTAGCCTTGAGCTGAAGAGCTCAAGGACAGTACCTAGGCCCAGAGTTCAAGTCCCATGACCAACAACAACAAAAAAGAATATGAAAGTTTTCACAGTGACTTACATTTAATTTTTATTCTCTAATTTTCAATTTCATCTACAGTGAGTACTTAGAGCAGTTGGTGTTAAGGGAAGTGAAAGTATTATACTGTTTATTTGGTTTCTACAAATACTAGGTGCTGTATTGGGCATTGACAGGCAAAAAAACACAGGTTCTTGTATTCAAGAATGGGAAGGAAAAAAAAGTCAAGTACCAGTGGCTCATGCCTGTGTCTTTGATACTTAGGCTAAAATCTAGAGGGTGGTAGTTCTGAGTCAGCCCTCGGAGAAAGAATGCAGATACAACTCAGTACAAACATTCTGGATTGAGTCCTTGGTTATGAAGGACATTACTGGAACAGTTTGTAAAACTTGAGTATTTTCTGATTTTGATGATTGTATTGTGATTATGTAGAATAATGTTAGGTGGTTTTGTTTTTTTTAAGCTGTATGTTGGTGGCTCACACCTGTAATCCTGAGATATGAGGATCACAGTTTAAAGCCACCAGGGCAGGAAAATCTGTGAGACTCTTATCTCCAGTTAAATTCCAAAAGCCAAAAGTGGGCTCTGGCCCAAGTGGTAGAACACTTGCCTTGAGCAGAAAAGCTCCAGTATAGTGCCCAGATCCTGAGTTCAAGCCCTAGGACTGGCAAGTGTGTGCACGCACGCGCATGTGTGTGCACACACACACACACAAAAGATAAAGGGCCAGGCTTGGTAGCACATAATTGTAATCCCAGAACTTGGTATGGTCATGAGTACAAGGAACACCTAGCCCATATAGACCTTGTTTCAAAAATTAAAAGTAGCGATAGATACCTATAGCTCACACCTATAAACCCAGCTATTCAGGAGGCTGAGAGTAGAAGGATTGTTGTTCAAGGGTTCAAGGCCAGCCTTGAACTACAATAAGCAGAAAAGCTCATGAGACAGTCTCAGAATAACCAGGAAAAAAAAGTCTGCAGGTGTGTCTCAAGTGGTACTATGCCAACTTAACAGCCTAAAGCCCTGAGTTCAAACCAAGTCAGATCCCCCCCATCACCAATTTTTACTGTAAATAAGCCACACATGGTTGAAATCCTGTCTACTCAGGGGCATAGATTAGGAGAATTATAGTTTGGGGACAGCCTGGTCAAAAGGTTAGCTGGACCCCATTCTAACCTTGAGTGATAAAGTGAAAGAGCAGAACCCAGGCCCTGAGTTCAAGCCCCAGTACTGGCACCAAAAGAAAGAAAGAAAGGAAAGAAAGAGTATACATGGAGACAATGAGTAGGGTAAAAATAGAGAAAGTACAGGGCTTTTGGGGAATGGTTAATAGGCTGATTGATTAATAGGTTGATCAGTTGATAGTTATGCCCAAAGAACAGGTATGTTAGGTGAGGGTAGATAATAGAAATCTTGATTTTCATGCCAGAATCTTAACTCCTTTCTCCTTGAATTTTAGCATCATGGATACTGACTTATATGATGAATTTGGGAATTATATTGGACCGGAGCTTGATTCTGATGAAGATGATGATGAATTGGGAAGAGAGACCAAAGATCTTGATGAGGTAAAACAAAATATATTGCCTTTTTCATCTTTTCCCTTTTCTTTTTCTATTATTTTTTTGGTAGGTTGTGGGACTTGAACTCTGGGCCTGGGCGCTGTCCCTCAGCTCTTCAGCTCAAGGCTAGCGCTCTACCACTTGAGCCACAGCACCACTTCTGGTTTTCTGAGTGGTTTATTGGAGATAAGAGTCTCACAGACTTTCCTGCCCAGGCAGGCTTTGAACTGCGATCCTCAGGTCTCAGCCTCCTGAGGATTACAGGTGTGAGCCACCAGCACCTGGCTTCCCTTTTCTTTTTCTTTTGGTGTCATACCTAGGGCTTGAGCTTAGGTCCTGATTGCTGTTCCTGAGGTTTTTTGCTCAAAGCTAGCATTCTATCACTTGCGCCATTGTTCCACTTCTGGCTTTTGGTGGTTAATTGGCATGAGTCTCACGAACCTTTCAGCCTAGGACTAGCCTGACTTTAATCTGTGATCCTCGATCTCAGCCTTCTGAGTATCTAGGTAGGATTACAGGAGTGAGCCACTGATGCCCAGCCTTCCCTCCCTCCCTCCCTCCCTCCCTCCCTCCCTCCCTCCCTTCCTTCCTTCCTTCCTTTCCCAAATCATCTACAGTCTCATACATTCCCTGTGTATACATCTCAAACATCTTTTTTACAACATGACTTATTGGAGGTCCTGCACTGCTCCAAAAGGAAGTATTAGATAATTTCATTTTTGAGATGGCTATGTAATTTGCACATCATTTTTCCTGAGGGATTTTTTGGGGGGGCTAGTCCTGGGACTTGAACTCAGGGCCTGGGCACTGTCCCTCAGCTCAAGTGGTATCACTCTACCACTTGAGCCAGAGCACCACTTCCAGCTTTTTCTGTTGTACTGAGGAATTGAACTCAGGGCTTCATGCACTCTACTACTAAGCCACATTCCCACCCCCTGAAGTGTTTTTTAGTAATCACAAATTAACCCCAACTTAGAAAAGTAGTCAGCTTTTCAAAATGCTACTGCACTGGCAGCTCCTCACAAGCTCAGGTTTTCAAAAATACAGAAGGAAAACAATAGAAAGAAAAGATATAGGTTCCTGTGACTCTCCTTTAGGAGAGTTCAGGGAAGGTAAAGTCCAGAATGGTCTGAGGCTTGTAAAAAGCAACAAAGGTATCCTTTGTGTTTATTTGTCAGAGAATGAACAAGCAGTAAATAATGGTGCAGGGTACGGTCTCAATTCTCAGTGCTTGGGAAGATATGATATTCATGGACAGTAGAAAATCAGAATGAAAAATTTGGCTGCGTTCATCCTTTCCATAAAGAATGTTCTTCAAACTAGGATAGAGAAGAACAAAAAAAACAGAACGAAGTGTGGTGGTACAGGCTTGTAATCTAAGCATTCCAGAGGCTGAGGCAGAAGGATGAAGAGTTCAAAGCCTGATCGTGTGGCTCATTCCTATAATCATAGCAAGACTGAAATCTAAGGATCAAAGTTATTTATGCCCTCTTCCATTCTCTTTGCCTTTCCCGTCCAGAGACTGCTCTTGTCAAGGTCATTAAGTGACCTACTAATTAAATACTTGGCAATACTGGGGCTTGAACTCAGAGAGCCTCACACTTTCTAGGATACCACTTACATGCCTCTATTTCTGGCTTTGTGTTTGTTAAAATTGGAGATAAAATTCTCTTGGATTGGTCTGCCTAGGCTGGCTTTAAACCTTGATTCTCAGATCTCA